CTGACCAGGGAACATGAATTTCAATGAGAAAAAAAAAAAAAAAAAAATTACAGCATCAACTCGTCGAGAACAGTATCTTGTAATTTCCAGTAAATTGGAATCACTGCGAGTCATTTTCCCCACTTGAGTGGCAGGTATATTAATTTCTTGTCGTTTGTCAGCCATCAAAAATAAATTGTTTATAAGGGATGGGGAGAAAGCGTCAGAGACTCAGTCTGAGGCTATTATTCTGGTGTGTGAGTCACAGGGCTCGGGGTCTTCGAAGCACCGAGGCTGGCTTCCACGGACTCCATACAGAAGTGGGCCCTGGTAAAATGGAGCAGCCTCGAGCCCAGGCCCCCTTGGGCGTGCTCTGGCCCGCCCACTGCCCTGATCTCACTTATTCATCCCCATCTCCTCCAGGAGAGGAGTGGACAGCTCCCCAGAGGGTACCTCATAGCGGCAGCCACCCTTCGTCACACTCTGGCTGCCCTACCAGCACTGAATCAGGTCCCAGAGGCAGGATTTCATTTCATTTTTTCAATCACCTTTCAAGCAGGCATTATTATCCCCCTTTGATAGATGAGGAAACTGGGACTCAGAGAGGGTCAGTAACTTACCCGATGTCACACAGCTGGTAACGCTAGAGGGCCACAGCCAGTGTTGGGGTAAGTGCGAGGTACACAAGACACTTCAGGCACAATGTTGAAGGAGGCGCTCATTCTCAGGGTCAGTTGAGTGTGGGGTCAGCACCTGGGAGGGAGGAGCCTTGCTGTCCCACCATACCCCCAGCTCTGAGAAGTGTGGATTTAGATCTGCATTAGTTTGGATTTAGGTCTGCATTCAGACCCTTGCTTTTCTCACTGTGGCATATGTCAACCCCAAGATCAGTCTTGTATTAGCAAGTAGAAACATCCAAAGGAATGAAGCTCTAATGGTGGGATTTCAGGCCTCAGGGAGCTGATAAGGAAGCTGCTCCTCCCTCCGTCCCCTACAGCCAGCGCAGTCAGGAAGCTGCCTGCCCCCCTTATCTTAAGCTAGCCCTCATCCAGGTTAGAAACGTGGGGCTGAGGCCACCACTCAGGAAAGTAAAATCTAGTTACTGGCACTTAGTTGCGAAGCTCCAGTCTGCTGGACTCTGTAGAGCTGACCCAGCACAGAGTCTTTTCAAATCCACTTTTTATCTCCATGGGGAAAGGGTCCCTGTCCTCATTTCCTTCCTCAGTAGTGGGAGCAGAGGCTCTGAGAAGTTGACCAGACTGTAGAGTGAGGACTAGAACCAGCGTGTGACTCAGGGCTTGGCATGGCTCTTCCCATCCCACCTCGCTGCTGAGAACCAGGTCAAGACACACACATGCTGGGTTCAAACTTGGCTAGGGCAGAGCTGGAGAGATAAAGGGAGAGGCTCGGGGAGGAAAATGACAGTCAGGAACAAGCAAATTCTAAAATATAATAATTTGGCTAAATTTAAACATGTAAGAGAGTTCATAATGATTCATCATGCATGCAGATCGACGCAAATGACTATGTAAATAACTATGCAAATAATGCAGAAAGGAAGGAGCAGGGCGAAGCTCACCTCTCCACATAGAGCAGGGGTGGGCAGGACTTCACCCTCGAGCAGAAGTTTTCTAGGCAAACCACATCTTCAAGTTAAAATGACTTTCTTATGTGTCTTGATCAAGCCCCAGAAACCTGGGGCCTGCTGCCCTGGACTACACCCTTCCTGGAAGCCGCCACAACCACCATTCCCTATCCCACTTCCACCCTCTGGGCTAAATCATTCTGCTGCTTCTTGCCTCTCTCCATAAGCCTCCCTTTCCCCTCTAACATTTAATTATCCTTATCACCTTTTTACTGGATCAGGATCGAGCAAGGGGATTAGGCTGGGCCCAGAGCTTCTCAGACCCCTCTCTCTGTGCAACCACGTAAGTCTCCCAGCAGCACGTCAGAGACGAAATGGCCTCTCGGAGGGGAAACGCGCAGCTTTGGGGCACAATCCACCACTACCAGCTGAGTGGCACAGAATTACTGCATCTCTCTGAGCCTCAGTTTCCTCATCTGTCAGTTGGGAGTAATAGCACCTGCTGTTTATGGCCCTGTGGGTGCCATGTGCACACCTGCACGCATCACGCCGCCATTGAGGGTGCTCAGTAACGGACTCCGACATCTCTCTCAAACCTGCAGCCCACGCCATTTGGGGAACTACACAGATGTCCTATTCCAGCCACCTGCGAGAGCAGACAGACCTGAGGCGCCCTCACTCCTACCCTTCATTTCTTCCTGCTTGTCTAGGAGCCCTGTGCACCCAGCAGCTCCACTGTGAAGCTGACCTCAGCCCTCCATCCCTACCTCCCCACGCACAACCAGCTGAGGCCTCCCACTCCTGCCCCACTCTCCCATCTCCTTCCAGGTCCTGAGCACCTGACAGCCCTTCCTCTGTGCAGAGATTTTCAGCTTTCTTGGGGTATTCACCCATGATCTCCTTGTGACACCGCATGTCCATGTGAGCTTGGAAAAGACACATGATTCTTCTTTACGAGGGAGGAGACTGGGACTTAGAGGGCACGCAGGCAGGAAGTGGCCCCTCCGAACGTGGAACCACACTGCCCCTCCACTCTGCCTCCTCAATGTAGCCACCCTCTGGTGAGAATTCTCTTTTTATAGCTATGACTATCTCTCCAATTTTTCTGTAAGCCTTCGAGGGTTTAGAGCCCATCTCAGGTCTCCTCTTGCCCACACAGCCAAATGCCATCCCCGACATTCAATAAGCTCCAATTAGCGCCTGCACACCCAGCCAGGGCAAGGGGTGCAAGATTCTCCAGGTGCGTTCCAGGGAGACCTGAGTTTCTCACCAATCACTTTAGCAAAGAGCCAGTCCTCCAGGCTTGCCTCTGCAGACGGGCCTGAGCTCTGCTTTGGACAGCCGCCAGGAGGCTCCTCACATGCTCTGGACAAGGGATAGTTCCTAGAACTATGGCCCCACTGTGTGTGCACATGGGCAAAACTGTCTCGTGTCTCTCCCTAGTCTTTCATGAAGGACCCTGGGTCTGAGTACATAGGGATGTAAGAGTCCTCCGTATCCCTCTCCTGGGCAGCTGCTGTCTGGGGAGGCATTTGTCAGCTGGTGTGCTTGCTGTCTTCAAGACACACACTCTTCTGGTACCTTCATGACTTACATCCCATTTCCCCCATCCTCGCTTGTCTTATCCAAACAACCTAAGAGGCACCAGAAATAATCCCACATCTCCACGCGCTGTTTTTCTTTTCTTCCCGATAGGTGCTTTGCTGTCTGCACACACACTGCTCCAGGAGGAGTGACTTTCGGAATGGGAATAAACTCTGTTCTCAGCCATTCCCTGTGGGACCTCCCTGTTTCTAACCCCTGTGGGGAGACCCAGAACTTTGTACCAAGTCAGCTATTGCCATTACTACCCTGCTAATAATAGTAATAAATACTCATTTACTTCATTGTGGTGCCAGCCACAATCCTACACCTTCATGTCTTGATTCCTTTAACCTCTGCTAACACAGAGAGAGTAGGAGCTAGGGCCTCTGGGCATTCCACCGTGCAGACCTGGAACAGAGAGGCTAAGGTGCTCGTCTAAGGTCTCATGAGTCCATTGATCTTGGGTAAGACAAGAAAGCCAAATAGGGAAATCCTAGATATTCAGGAAACCATCACCCCAACACTCACGCCACATTAACAGCCCTCTCTCTCTCTCTCTCTCTCTCTCTCTCTCTCTCTCTGTGTGTGTGTGTGTGTGTGTGTGTGTGTCTGTCTGTCTGTCTGTCTTTCTCCTCCCCCCTTTCTTTCTGTCCTGCATACCTGACTGGTTCTTTACCTTCCTGGCTTTGTGACTGAGGCAACTCCCTGTCCCTCTCTGAGCTCGATTGTCCTCTCCTAACAATGGGGAGAGGAATCCCTCCTTCTCGCCTCAGGAGGCTGAGGAGGACAAGGAACTGTAAGACCATGACAGTGATGCACCTGGTCCCCTGGCAGCTGCCGTGTTGGCAGGAAAGGGGTCGGTCTTCATATCATCAGGAGCCAATGTGCTTTGTCCCGTTGCAGCATCTCAGGCTACGGAGCGGCCGGCGGGAAAGGTGGGAAGAACACCATGATGCGATCCCATGGCGTGTCCGTGCTGGGCATCTTCAACCTGGAGAAGGACGACACGCTGTACATCTTGGTTGGGCAACAGGGGCAAGATGCCTGCCCCAGCGTAAGTGCCCAGAGTGGGATGTTTTCCTCCGTACTCACCTGGGATTGGGGCAGGGCAGGGGCGGGGGGCTCCCGGAAGGTAACAAAGCCCCACATTCCTTCTGGGAGTTCACGTTCGAAGATGGCAGAACTTGCCCCTTGCTCTACCTGCAAGTGCCCCTCCTTTTCCAGGGCTGTCTGAGTACTTAGGAAGCATGTAGTGTGTGGTTACCAGGGTTCGCATCCCCACAGGGACTAAACTGAGGCCTGGGCTAAACTGGAGGACTGAATTCTACTTGAATGGCAAATGTTTATTCTCAGCGGAAGTATGAATTGGAGCCTTGCTAAGACACCATTATCTTTAGCCATAATGTTATAATCAGAAAAATACATGTTAAACATTTCCTGTTCAGCTCAAAATTACAGACTGAGAGTCACTTACACGGGGCAAGAGGCTTCAAAAGGTTCTTGAAAAATGCACATTATTTAAAAACTATGCATATATTTCCACTTTTTGCACGAAAATGAGCTTGTACTTTAATTCTATATTCTGCAAAGGTCTTGAAGTTCCATCCCATATGTACGTAAATGCACAGAAAAAGTCCTGAAAGCTTCAAATGGGGCAGTTATTACTGAGAAGGGGACTAAGTCGGGAGTGCTTTATCAGTAATGTTGGAATTATCACAAAAAGGATGTATTCATATATTATTTATTATTTATGTGGTTGGAACTTAAAAAAGGAAGATGGAGCACAAGCTCTGAGTCCAGTGCCATGTAGTGTCACACCTCCCACTTTACGGATAAGGGCAATGGAGACCAGAGAGATCAAGGAACTGGCACGGTTGCTCACAGCACAGCGCTCCTGCGGCTCATCCCCCGCCTGCTTGGGCCTTCATTTTTGTGGCCTTTGCTCATTTCCATTTGTAGTCCGTCACTGGACAAGCCTCTGCAACTGCAGAGACAGCCTATCTTCTCGGTTTCTGATTCCACTGGGGTGTCCAGCCATCAGAGAGGGAGAACTCCAGCAGCTGGAGTTGAGAAAATCCAGAGTGGTGTAAAATCAGGAGCAGGAGACAGTCAAGACTAAGTAGCAGTCATGCAAACCCCTGGCACCCCAGATGTTCACCTACGTTGCAAGGGGAGGCAAGACCCTGGAGGTACTAGCTATCCAAAGAGGAGCTCAGTACCCTCTAGGGCCAGTCTTCTGGTTGGGCCCAGGCCCCACACTCACCTGGTGCACTGCTTTTGCCTGAGGCAGGGAGCTGTGTGCTAAGACCAAGGATAGCTCCTTTTCCAAGAACTGACTCAAGAGTCACCTTGGAGGACAGATGTGGGAAAGAAGTTCAGTTCCACAGAATCACTCAGGGTTCCTCCGAGCCAGGTCCTGGGCTATTAGCAAGACGAAAGCTGTGCCTTCCCTCCTGTACTTTATAGGGTTAAGTAAAACCGCAGAAGTAAGCCTAGCAGGCACAACCTTGTACATGAGAAATGTCTTGACTCTAGCTTTTATTTAGCAACTATAATCAGGACTTTCCAACCTGATATAATATATTAAGTCATTAAATTACAGGCTGCTGTAATTTTCACAGGAATTTATTGAGTGCTAATGTAATTCTTTCATCTAAGCAGAAAGATTGCATTGACTTCTGCAAGGAACTTTTACTTGATTGGATTGTAATCAGTTATGTCTTTTCACAGGACCAATTCTTTTTTGTTTTTTAATTCAATTGTAATCTACTTGTTCCTCTGAGTTGCTGCACTTTATCATTTTTATTAATCAACCTGCTTGCTCTCAAACTTTGTGGATGTCCAGGGAGGGAGGGTTCCCAAGAGGGGGAGAGGTGATTCTCAGCTGGGCAGAGGGTGGCCCCTTCTGCTAGCTGGGGGGACATAGCATGGGCATGTGTGAATCGGTCTGCCCTTATTCCACAAGTTCACCCCGAGGAGTTATTTGGAAAGAGAAAGCAGTGACCATTTTCAGGTGCTACCTTAATCGCTAGTTCTCTGTAGGCAGAAAAGTTGCATTTAGAGATGTTTCTCAAGAGAATGAAACGGACTCTCAGAGTTGAACTGCAGGATTCGGTAGCCTTTACTGCTTCCACTGCATATCTGGGAGAATCGCACTTCCTGTGTGCCTGGAATGGGATCCAACTTCTGGGAACACCTCACTCTCCCATATCTCCCCCCCCCCCAACACACACACACACACCCTTCAGTCCCTGTTACTCCAAGTCCTTCCGTGCCTTACCTAGTGGCCTGCATCTAAATCAGGGTTGTTCAACAGTGGCACTGTTGACATTTTGAAGCAGATAATTCTTTGTAGCTGGGGTTGGGAGAGCTGTCATGGGCATTGTAGAACATTTACCAGCATCCTTGTCCTCATTCCACTAAGTGCCAGGAGCATCCCCTCATAATAACAAATAAAAATATCTCAGAAAAACAAAAACTAAAGCTTCAGACATTTCCAAACACCCCCCAGGGAGGGGCAAAATCACTTTCCTAATGTTAAATCCCACCACTACCATCACCCATAAGGCGAATATAAGGGCAGCTCACATCCGAGACAGCTCTCAGTTCTTTTGAATTTATGCAGCAAATATTTATGGAGTACCATTGTATCTGTGCCAGCCATGTTCTAGGAACTTGGGCATATCAGTTAACAAAAGAAAGATCTTTGCAGGGGCCAGCAGATGGCATAATAGTTGTTTCTGGACTCCCACAAAGTCAACCACAGTTCAAGTCCTGGACCCAAAAGCTTAAAACTTAGGCTGCGGGTGTGTGCATGTGCACCCAAAATCCCGACAGGGTAAAGGAGGAGAAGAGACTGTGCCGTGGCCATTGCCCCCTGCCAAGGGGAGGGTGATTTCTCACTTTCCATCTCTCTCGGTCTCTCTGGTGAGCACACACGCCCTACAAGAAAAAGAAAATCCTCTCTCCAAAAAAAAGAAAAAGAAAAAAAAAGAAAGAAAGAAAGAGAGAAGGAAAGAAAGAAAGAAAGATCTTTGCTCTTAGAGCTTACATTCAAGAGGAGAGAGGAAGATTGGACAGATAATAACTACTGAAAGTGTGGGGCTGAGCAGAAGCCAAGCGAAGAGAAGACAGATGTACCAGTGTTGGTGTCACCTTACAGCTTTAAATAGGGTGGTCGTAGGAAGATTATTGAAAAAGGGCCTGGTGTGCTGCGTCCTAAGGGATTGAACCCAGATCATATGCAGGGTCCCAGGGAAGGGGTATGCCTGTGTGTGCTGAAGGGCCACCTGGATGAAGGGAGCAAGAGAACGGTAGATAAGGGGTGAGTGTGGAGTAATGGGGCTGGGTCCAGCCATCGTAAGGACATGTTCAACCATAAGAGGGTTTTGAGCCCACAGTGACATAAAGTGATTTATATCAAAGGCCCTGGCTACAGTGTGGAGAAGAGGCCTCATGGGCACAGTGGAACTGTCAGGGTCGTCGATTCAGTGGCTATTGCATAATTGGGGCAAGAAATGGTGGCAGCCATGGAGGTGGTGCAAAGTGGTTGAGTTCTAGGCATTTTTAAATGTCAAACGCAAAAGGATTTCCTACTAGATTAGATGAGGAATTGAGAGAAGAGTCAAGGGCGACTAGGCATTGCTCGGGAGCCCCTAGAGGAGGGGGCTGCCATCCTCTGAGTTGGGGAATGTGGCAGAAGGAGTGGGTTCCAGGGCAAGGGCAGGAGCTCAATGTCAGGCAGACGCAGTTGCAGAGTTCTGGGAGACAACCAAGCGGAGATGGCAGGTGGGTGCAGATCTGCCCCTGGAGTTCGGGGGCGAGTCCAGAACGAAGCTATAAATCTTAAAGAATTCAAATTTGAGACAAGACGGAATTGCCCAAGGTGTGGAACAGTAGAGAGGACCGAGGACTAAGCCTTGAAGACTCCAATGCTTAGAGGCCAGGGAAAAGAAGAAGAGAGAGCAAAAAGGGGCTATAAAAAAGGAGTAGAAGGGACTGACCAAGGTGTGGAGTCCTGGAAGAGAGACAAAGAAGTCGATCGGCTCTGCTAAATGCTGTTGTTGGGTGTAGCCGTTCCCCACCCACCACGCGCCTGATCTAAGAGATACCTTGAGCAGGGCAGTGAGGGATGGGCATGGGTCCAGCCATCCTCAGGCATCACCACTCCCTCCTCTCCCCCACAGCAGTCTCCACATTCTGCTTGCAGGAAGAGGGCATCCCCAAGGGTTGGCAGTCCCAGTGCGGCATCCAGAGGGAAGAGAAAGGAGAGCAGTCTTGGGAGCTGGGCCTTCTTAGCACCATTGGTTCAGATTCAGCGGCCCCTCCATTTATAAATAAAGAGGCGAATCCAGAGAAGCGAGGTACCTCACATAAGATGGCCCAGAAAATCTCTCCAGAACCATCAAGAACCAACCTAGACTGTCTTTTATGCTCTGTCCAGCTGGGAGCTCACATTTCCTCCCGAGCCCCAGGCCTGGCCCTCGGGGCCTGGCGTTTGCAGCAGCTCATTCCCCCCACACACACACCCAGGCAGCCATCAGCAGGGTTTCCGTTCCTGGTCTCCCCACTCCTGCCCCACCCCCAGCCCTGGACAGCGCTGCACATACAGGCGAGAAATATCAGCTCCACAACAGCAATTCAGAGCCTTCCACCCACACTAAATCCACTCTAAAAAATATCAAATTATTTCCATCATTAAGTCCAAAATGCCATAAAACAAATTGCATCTTGGCTATTTATCTGGAAATTTCTCTAGTACTCATTGCCGGCACCCCTGAGTGCGTTAGCATAAGGAGTGGCTCAAGATGGATTGCCATGTCCACTGGCTGGTTACACAGCGGCATTTGATGGAGATTTGATGTTTTATTGCCTTTTTTCTATTAAGTGAAAGAAAAGTCATCTTATTCTGAGGTCAGGCTCGTGTTTGGAGCGTTCTTCTGAGTGGTGGTGGCTGTTCTTGAAACACCACCCTCTTTCTTTTCTTTCTTTTTTCTTTTTTGGAGAAGTTTTTGCTATAGGGCACATACGCTCGCCAGAACGACAGAGAGAGACAGAGAGATAAAAAGCAAGAAATCACCCCCCCAGGGAGGATGGCCACACCGCAATCCCTTCTCCTCCATTCTCCTCTTGGGATGTTGGGCACGCACGCACACGCGCCCGGCGTGAGTTTAAGCCACCGGGTCAGGGACTCTAACTGTGGTCAGCTACATGGGAGTCCAGCGGCATAGCCATCGCGCTAACTGCTGGTCCCGAAGCACGACCCTCTTTATTCAGGGATTCCCAGGTTCTGTGTTATGGTCATCTCCAGCACATCCCCAGGGACTCCCAGATACCTGAGCGCCCACCAGGAACACATGAGCCCAGAAGTGAATCTAAATAAAGTAGCAGAGGCAGCCACTTATTCGGTCTACCAGGTAGGAGACACTGTCCAGATACCCTACTTGTATTACCCGGAGCAAACGTCACAGCAACCTGTGGGATCCGTGTTCCCACTTCACACCGAAGCATCACCGGCACTGACCGCCTCCTCCATGGTCGCCCAGGACTGGAGGCGAACCCAGGCTGTCTGACTCCAGGGCTCACTCCCTATTCCACCTGGCAGACAGAGAGCTCTGCTTAGGGCTGTGTGAGGGATTTCTGGAGGCAAGAAATGGGACGTGATTAGGGGTGAATGAAGTATCTGAAATGGAGAATTGACTTCCTGGAGATGAGCCAGGAATAACCTCTGAAGCTCACCTCCCATTGCTGCTTCTCTTCCCATGATGCTTCAGAACTGCAGCGTCCCCCAGAACCTCATGGCTCTCCTCTACCTAGAGAGTGAGTCTAGCTCCTTTGGTTGTCTTCAAGGCCTCTAGCCATGGTCTGACTGTCCAGGTAATTCCCTCTACCTGTCCTGGGTAACACTCCCTTCAGCCCATCCCACCACATAGTACCTTTGTCATCCCCTCTTTGGAGTCCAAAGGATCCTAACAGCTCCTCCTAGAACATCTCTCCTTCCTAAGATGGGCTTTTCTGAACCCAAGAGACTTGCGCTTTTCCCCAAGCACCTCACTGGCCACCTCCCCTCTGTGTTCATGCTACTCTCTCCTCCTGGAGTGGTTTAACCTTCCCCCATCTGTGAAAAAACAAACAAAAAAGCAAACAAACTCTCATCCTTCAAGGCGCACTAAAAGCCACCTCCTACAGGAAGTCCTCTCTGCTCACCATTCAGCAGTAAAGGCTTGCTCTCCTTCCCCCAACTTCTCACAACATTTGTATCTAAGCTGTTCTTGAGGGCCTTCCCTCATACTGTCCAGAATGCCCGTCATTTTGTGTCCTTTCTTCCTGCTCAGCACAAAAGTTTCTGAGAGACAGATCCTCCCTTTACACATGGACGGTCTGTGTGCTGGCAAGTGGGGAATCCTGGATGGGGCACAAGCCTAAAGTGCTTTTCGTTTCTACAGACAAACCAGTTAATCCAGAAAGTCTGCATTGGAGAGAATAACGTGATAGAAGAGGAAATCCGCGTGAACAGAAGCGTGCACGAATGGGCAGGAGGAGGAGGAGGTGGGGGTGGAGCCACCTACGTGTTTAAGGTAAGCTCCTCGGGCATCATGCTGGGAGCTGCACGACCAGCCTGGGACCCGAGCACTTGGATGCTCTTAGCCCCCCTCAAAGATGAGCAAACAGAGGCCCCGAGGGATGTAGGGTCGTCTGTCCAGAATTGATTTGCCAGCCCAGTTTCACCATTCCAGCCTTTGCCAATGTGTATGTGCGCATGTGTGTGTGTGTGTGTGTGTGTGTGTGTGTGTGTACAGTCGTCCTTCAATATCCACGGGGGTGTGTGTGGGGGGACTGCAGGAACCATAACCTCCAGTCTCTTAGGTAAAATGGCCTAGTCTTTCTATAGAAACTGCACGCAGCCTCCTGCAAGCTGTAAATCATCTCCAGGTGACTTACGGCACCTAATACGATGTAAATGCTCGAGGAACCGTTGCCGTACTGTATTGTTCAGGGAATAACGACAAGGAAAAAGGTCTGTCGCTGTTCAGCACAAACATGGACAATCTTTTTGTTTCCAAATATTTTGAAAAATATCCAATGGTGGATACAGATCTAGTGGATACAGAGACCAACTGTGTATGTGTGTGTGTGTACATATGTGCATAGACAGATGTGTGTGTGTGTGTACAGGTGAACAGATGTGTGTGAGAGCGTGTGTGTGTATTTGTAGAGGTGAATAGACGTGTGTATACATATATCTATAGAAGGATAGATGTGTGTATATATGCATAGGCAGATAAATGTGTGTATACCTGTATGTATAGAGGTGTGTGTGTATGTGTGTGTGTGTCTCCAATGGCTTTGTTTCGCGGATGCAGAGCTAGAAGGAGTGCAGGCAGGGCTGACAGGTTCTTGTACCATGTCAGAGCCATCGAACCTGCTCGGACCACCAAGAGGTAGCCACTGCCTGGCAGTCAGATCTTCACATCTAAACTAGGGCTCAGGGCTCCAGAGTGAAGCCCCACTCAGATCCTCAGTTCTCGAATGTCTCCCCTGGCAGATGAAGGATGGATTGCCCGTGCCCCTGATCATTGCAGCTGGTGGTGGCGGCAGGGCCTACGGGGCCAAGACAGAGACGTTCCACTCTGAGAAACTGGAGAATAACTCCTCAGTTCTCGGCCTGAACGGCAATTCCGGAGCCGCAGGTAAAGCCCAGTCGGCCTCGGCCTCTCCCAGGACGTCTCCCAGGGCCACGTGGGCTTCAGCTCTGCTGGGAGCCATCACAAACCAGGTGCCGGTCTCTGGCACTGAGAGGCTGGGCACTCTGGATGTGGGTGCCCACGTTGAGGGAGGCACCCTGCCAGGCTGGGCCTCAGACTCACAGAACACTGAGAAAAGGAGAGTGAGCCTTTAGCTGACTGGCCAAGCCCCCCGCACCCCCAGTCCTGCTTTTACCAAAATGCAGTGGCTAGAGCTGCCCCCTAAGTTTCCCCCTTCCTCTGGGGCACATGGGTCCCCCAGTTAGAATGGAAGCTGACGATAGAAGCTGGGCCTCCTAGGCACCTGCCAGTCCAATCATTTCCTCCCTGGGAAACTTCTGTCTTGAATCTCCGCAGTGGGCCTCGCTTTTCTTGTCGGTGACACAGAAAGAGGAACAGACACTGATAAGGAACGGATTCTCTGGTTCCCCGGAAGTCAGCCCTCTCTAAAGAGAGCAAGTGCAATTCTTCCTGGTGTTTTCTTTTCTGCCCTATCAGACCAAAGGAGGATCTTTGAAGTCATTTACAATTCGGGATTCATTAAAACAAATGCTCAAACTTTCTCTCCAGTGGAGAGATGGCTAGAAATAGAAGCAAGGGAAGGAGCAGTGGCCGGGCCCCTAGTGAGGTCACTGACAGCATTTCCAGTGCTCCACCCCTGCCTGTCCAGCAGAAGCTCGCTACAAAGCACTTCCCCATCTGTTGTACGTGCACTTTCAAAACCTTCCTTGGGAACCAGCAATTAACGTAATGGCTATGTCGCTGGACTCCCACGTAGTCGACCGCGGTTTGCGTCCCGGACCCGGTGGCTTAAAACTCACACCGGGCGCGTGTGCGTGCATGCCCAGGATCCCGAGAGGAGAATGGAGGAGAAGGGATTGCGGCGTGGCCATCCCCCCTGGGGGGTGATTTCTCGCTTTCTGTCTCTATGTCTTTCTCTGTCTGGCGAGCGCATGCGCCCTATAGCAAAAACCTCTCCAAAAAAAAACAAAAAA